CTAAAACATTACTAAAAATACTAAAAAACAGACAAAAATGCAGATATCTCTCAAACTGTAAGGAATTTGGCGAAATGGAGGAAGCAAACTAAATCCATAGGGTGGGTTTGGTTGGCTCTGTCTCGTCAAGATAGTCGATTTTTATATATAGTCCAATTCCGACGTACGGTTTGAAAGTTATGGTCGTTTCTTCGTAAAAAAAGTTTTTTTCCTCGACCTGGCCCGCGTTTGAGCTTGCGACTGTCCCACTTTGACATAAACATGTCTGTCGTTTGTTCTACATTAGTCCCCCTGCTTAAAAAGAGCTCGACCCCGAGCTTACACTTGCATGAACAGTTGTTTCTTCTGACGGGTAATACTCAAACAAATCTGTAATATTGAAACTAGGAGAGATACCCAAATCTGTAGTAGGAAGGTCAACCACATAAGCATTGTCGCTAATCTTTTTCAATATTTTGCATGGACCATACTTCTTATTCTTCAGCTTGTTGTAGGTTCCCACGGGAAAACGTTCTTTTCGCAGAAACACCATCACCATGTTCCCCTCTTCAAACACTTTCTTCCTCCTGTGTCGATCAGCATCAACCTTATATTTAGTATTAGACTGCTCTATCTTCTCCTTTACTTTCTGTTGGATATCATGTATCTTTTCAACCATATGATCTGCAGGAACACTCTATCTGAGAAGCTTAGGTAGTGAAGCAAGGTCAAGATAATAATTCGGAAGCCAACCATGCATAATCACAAAGGGAGTCTTGCTTGTAGTTCGATTCTCCATACAGTTATAAACAAACTCACATGTACCAGAGCAAAATCCCACTACTTCGAATGATCGACAGGGATGAATTTAAGAATGTTACTGAGAGTGCAATTTACTACTTCAGTTTGGTCATCCGTTTGAGGGTGGTAAGCAGTACTAAACTTAAGAGAATTATTGAATCGATGCCACAAAGTCCTCCAAAAGTGGGATAAGAACTTTGAATCATGATCGGATGTGATGGATTTTGGTACTCTATGAAGGTGAACTATCTCCCGAAAGAAAATATTGGTAATGTAGCTAGCATCTGCAGTCTTCTTGCATGAAATAAAGTGTGCCATCTTCGAAAATATATCAACCACAACAAAAAATAGAATTCATACATCGTTGGGTTCTAGGAAGTCCCAACATAAAGTCCATAGAGATATCATGCCATGAGGCATCAGGAATAGGTAAAGGTGTATACAATCCCGTATTCTTAGATTGTCCCTTAGTAACTTGACAAACTGGACAACGCCGCACATACTTTTCTGCTCCCTTCTTCAGCTGAGGCCAGTAATATCACTCTTTAATAGAAGCAATCGTCTTGTCTCGCCCCAAGTGTCCTCCTAGCCCACCAACATGAAGGTCTCGAATTATCTGCTCTCTTAGGCCTGCAAAGTCACCAACAAACTAGCTCTCCAACTGAATGCATCTGCAACCTTATTCTGCTGTCCGGATTTGTACTTCAAAACAAAGGTGAAACGCTGCAGATACACGATCCAATGAGCATGCATACGGTTAATGGTAGTTGGACTTCAGGGCCTGATGATCAGTATGAAGCAGAAACTCTCGCGAGATCAAATAGTGCTCCCAATACTTTAAAGACTGAACTATGACATATAACTCTAGCTCATATGTGGTCCACTTCTGCCGAGCTTCGCTGAGTTTCTCACTATAGAAACTGGACGTCCTTCTTGAGATAGAACACCACCAATTCCTACGATGGATGCATCACAATCAACTTCAAACACCTTTTGAAAGTCTGGAAGTGCAAGTACTGGTGCGGTGGACAATTTCTCCTTGATTAATGCAAAGCTACAATCCGCTTCTAATCTCCAATTAAACTTTCCTTTCTTCATGCATTCAGTGGTAGGAGCTACAATACTACTAAAATTTCTGACAAATATCCTATAGAACGTTGCTAGGCCATGAAAACTACGAACCTCACTGACAGTCTTCGGTGTAGGCCAATCTCGAATAGCACGCACCTTCTCTTCATCAACATGGATGCCCTCTGTACTAACGAAAAAGCCTAGGAATATAAGACTACTGGTCATGAAGTTGCACTTCTTCAGATTGATGTACAACTTATTCTCCTGCAAAACTGTTAGTGCATCCCTCAAGTGGTCCAGATGTGCAGTCTCGCTCTTGCTATAAATCAGGATATCATCGAAGTAAACTACAACGAACTTGCCGATAAAGGGTTTTAATATCTGATTCATCAAACGCATAAAAGTTCTAGGAGCATTAGAAAGGCCAAAAGGCATGACTAACCATAACACATGCCTTCTTTTGTCTTGAAAGCAGTCTTTCACTCATCTCCTTCTCTAATTCGAATCTGATGATATCCACTCTTGAGATCTATCTTGGAGAACACTTTTGATCCAGACATATCTAACATGTCTTCCAACTGTGGAATAGGAAATCAATACTTCACGGTGATTTTGTTGATAGCCCTACTGTCCACACACATGTGCCACTCTCCGTTCTTCTTCAGGACTAGTAATGCTAGCACGGCACACGGACTCATGCTAGGTCGTATAAGGCCTTTTTAGACGAGATCATCCACCTGCTTCTGCAAAATCTCTCCTTCCTTTGGGCTCATCCGATAGTGTCAAATTTGGTAGCCGAGATCCCGGAATGAGGTCGATCTGATGTTGAACGTCTTGAAGAATTGGTAATTCAGAAGGAAGATCGTCGAACATAACTGCATCGAATTACTGCAAGAGGGTCTGTGCTTCAGGTGGAATTTTGGCGGTTGCAAAATCATCTTTTCCCGAGACAACAAGAGCATAAACCTCATCGAATTATTTCACATCTTTCATAAAGTCTTCATTGTCAACGACTAAAAAAGTCTTCTTTTCAGTAACATTGGTTTTGACAGGCCCCTTCTCGGTTAGAGGCTTGAGCACAATTCGTCGACCATTCTTCTTAAATATATAAACATTATCCTTACCCTTATGCGCGGCATCAACATCAAACTGTCATGGTCTGCCTAACAACATATGACATGCGTCCATCTCAACTATATCACATAATGCCTCATCGATATAAATTCGGCCAATGGAAAAAGATATCTGACACATCTCATCAACCTGCACGTCATTACCCTTACGAATCCAACCAATCTTGTAAGGTGCATCGTTCAACAAAGAAGTTGCAAAAAATTTTGCTTGTATGGGAAGTGAAATCTAGATATATACACACTAAACATTATCTCAACATTCCTCATAGTACACAAATTCATCACTTTTTGGATACCCGAACTTGAATAGAAATGTGAATTCTGTGTGCAAGTGTTTTTTCACCAAGATATTCCAAATTATTATACAGATGTTAGGTATAAAATTATACCTCTCAACTCTCATCATAACTTCAGAGTTTTAGTGTATTAGAAGGGACCTCGAGGGAACTTGAGCAGTCCAAGTTCAAATCGTATTGGCCATAAAATTAAAGTTTATTAAAAAAAATTAGTATGTGAGTTCAGGTATCGGCTCATGAAGGGATAATGTAACTAATGTTGCAAACTGTTTTATGCAACAATTCACTTAAGTGTAAGCTAGACGATACTCTTGTGAGGGAAACAACCGCAAACTTATAAAGCTTGAAACTTCTATCATGAAGCCAACCCCATTTAGATACATACTAGGATGAATATCTTTTTCATTGTAATATCATTTATGTCTATTAGAAATGTGCATGTCAGTGAATAGTACAAGCCTTTATCGGTATTATTTGCACTAATGTTTCTTAGACCCAAACTCTTTTTATTATTCTTCCGCAAGTAAGAACAAGTGTAGGTTATATATATGCATGACATATATTCAAGGTTCAAGAAGTGGTGATCTACGGCCTGCTCCCTTGGTCCCTTACATGAATGTCTACCTCAACTTGCTTATTGGACCTGTGTCTCAAGCTCATTAACTTAACCCCCATAATCCATTCACTTCAAAGATAGTTTAACTATCACACCCTGTAAGCTCTACATCAATTGATGCAACTCAAGAAGCACTCATGAAGTTACACTCACAAAATAGAGCTAAGGGGACCAGAGTGGCCGTGACCCCCCAGATTTTATACAATCGTAGCTTATATAAATGAGCTTTTCCATATTAGCCCACCAAATCATTCATATTTTATTATTAGTTCCCGAAACCTTCTTGTTTTGAAATTACTCCTCCAAATGTTTGAACTGTTAACCACGGATGGGTAGTGGCTGTTGACTCTCAAGTTTACAAACTTAGAACTCTCCCAAATGAAGACAAAGAACTTACTTTTATTTCTTTAATTTTTTCTTGATGAAAACAAGGATTACAATAGGCTTCAAAAACAAAACGTTTAGGCATACCAATAGTCACAAATTAAACTTCTATTTTAATGTCATAAAGATAAAATAAAACATCATAAAAGAGTAACTCTTATTCTTCCATAACCTATGTCTTTTCCCCTTCTAAACTTATGACCCTTGTACTTCTAAAATTCATGCTATTAACCTCATTTATTCTAACATTTTAATTGATATTCCAACACGCTCCTTCAAATAAAAATATCTTTATGCCAAACATGTCTCTTAGCCTCATGAAAGTTTACCTGATAATAGCTTGGTGAATATGTCTGCTACTTGTTCAGTTGTGTGACAATGCTTCAGTTCAACGGCTTTCTGCTTTACATGGTCTCTGAGAAAATAAAACCGTGTATCTATGTGTTTGCTCCTCCCATGATGTACTGGGTTCTTTGCAAGCTGGATGGCTGATTTGTTGTCCACAAAAATTACGGTCGAGTCTTCTTGTGGATGATCCTATTCGTTTAATATGTTTCGCAACCAAATTGCTTCACATACTGTAGATGCAGCCGCCACATACTCTGCTTCACATGAAGATAAGGCCACAACTCCTTTCTTCTTTGAGGTCCATGAAAATGCAGTTGACCCGAGATAGAAGATATAGCATGTGGTGTTTTTCCTCTCATCTTGGTCACCTCCCTAGTCACTATCTGAGTAACCAACTAGTTGTGCATTTTTATTATATGCATAGAAGAGACCCAGGTTGAGTGTGCCTTTGATATACCTTAGTATCCTCTTTGCAGCTAGCCAGTGAGACTCCTTCGGTGTCTCCATGTAGCGACTCACAAGTCCGACTCCATAAGTAATATCGGGCCTTGTGATCGTCAAGTATCTCAGGCTGCCAACTAGACGTTTGAAAAGAGTTGAATCCATGAAACGTCTGTCTCCTTCTCTTGAGAGCTTCATTCCGATGGCTATTGGGGTGTTCACAGGGTTGCATTCATTCATCTTGAACTTCTCTAAGATCTCCTTCATATAATTCTTCTGGGATATAAAAATCCCCTCTTGCTGCTGCTTCACTTTAATGCCAAGAAAATAGGATATCAATCCATTGTCCATCATCTCAAATTCATGGAACATTGCCGCCTTGAATTCAGCAAGCATCTCGGTACTGCTTCTTGTGTACAATAAATCATTAACATAAAGACAAATTATTAGAAATTCGCCTTTATGGTTCCTCTTCATGTAGATGGCATGTTCATAGGGAATTATTAGAAATTCGCCTTTATGGTTCCTCTTCATGTAGATGGCATGTTCATAGGGACATTTAATGAAGCCGTTTTGATGAAGATCATGTAGATGGCATGTTCATAGGGACATTTAATGAAGCCGTTTTGATGAAGATAGCCATCAATTCGGGTGTTCCATGCCCGTGGTGCTTGCTTTAAGCCATACAAGGCTTTCTTCAAATGGTACACTTTGTCTTCTTGCCCTTTCACAATAAAGCTTTTTCGTTGTTGCACGTACACCTCTTCCTCAAGAACGCCATTGAGGAATGCTGACTTGACATCCAAATGATATATATTCCACATGTGATGAGCTACAAGTGAAATTAATAGTCTCACTATATCTAGTCGAGCAACCGGAGCAAAGACTTCTTCATAGACGATGCCGTACTTTTGTTTGTAACCTTTCGCTACAAGTCTCGCATTGTACCGATCAACTTCACCATTTGTTGTGTGCTTGATCTTGTACACCCACTTGACCCCTATTACCTTCAACCGTGAGTTTTGAAGAATCTCCGAGGCTCACACTTCCATGAACTCCTTCTGCGAGTTCCATGAAAAGTTCTTTCTTCCCGCACATGTGGTTACTAGCACTCGAGTCAAGGTACCAAGCATCGTTCTCAAAACTTGAATCATCATTAGCAAGAAGAAGCGTAGAGTTGTTACCCATATCATTTATTACTTCGGTAAGATTGGTTTGGTCTTTAGTTTTGTGCCAACAATCTGAAGCATAGTGTCCAAACTTGTGGCAGTTATAGCACTGAACATTCTTGTTGTTTCCATGCCCAGGTGTGGATCTTTCACGATTGCTTCGTCCTCGTCCTTTAAAGCTTTGGGTCACTACTTGATTTTGAGTGGTTTGTTGTTGGGGACCATGTCCCCTGCATCTACCAAGACCACGACCACGACCTCTACCTTTATGACCCTTGATAACTTAGAGTCAATGTTGACTCTAGTACTTGTTCTAAAACTATGGAACTAACCTTCTTTTGCATTCGTTGTTCATGAACTTGGAGAGATCCCAAGAGCTCCTCTATTGAGATCTCCTCCAAATTTTTTGACTCCTCAATTGCCGTCACCACGTGCTCGAATTTTGGTGTGAGTGATCGGAGTAACTTCTCCATCACTCGGATGTCCTCCATCTTCTCTCCATTTCTCCTCATTTTATTCACAATTAGAAGTAATCGTGAATAATAATCGAAGATTTTTTCTTCATCTTTCATTTAAGCGGCTCACCCTATAAACTTAAATTCTTAAGTAAATCAAGCTTCATTTTGATTTAATCATCATAATACCAAGATCTTAGAACAAATGATTTTCACTATGAACAATTAATTAAGAAAAACGTACCTTGATCCATGATTTGAAACTTGAAGAAACTTAAAAACAACCTTGAAGACTTGAGTTTCTCTCCCTTAACCCTCTTAAGCTTTTCCGAAAAAATTTCTTGATGGAGAGAAATTTTTCACATTAAAGGTAGAGAGAGGACCAAGCCTTTTAAATAGAAATTAACCACTCACAATCCATCAATGTGGGTAGTTATCTTGACCAATAGGAACTTAGCATAAATGAGTAGTTATATAACTAATATAAATCATGACCATTTTCTTAAACTAAAAGAAAAACGTGGGCCACTACTCACGTTTCAAGAAAAAATAAAACTAACATTCTCCCACTTGGCCCATGTTTCATAATTTAACATTATGATTTAAAATACAACATAATATGCATCGTGTAATCTAATTCCATTATCATATTGATCAAACCATCAATCATCATTAAGTAGAAAACTAATAAGGATCATGGCGGTCGTACGTAGTTAAATCGACATAGTCCCTTCCATGTATCACAATATTAGTTTTATACTAAACATGACCTGTAATAAGACTTCTCATAATTGTCCAATAATAATGTCCTTGTTAGAGACATATCCTGTTAATATTCACATAATCATTTATGTATATACTAACAATAATAAACAGGATGCATTAAAATATCAGAAACAATATTTAGATGAGCTCAAAGTGTCAAATATATAAAGAGCATAAACTTTACATAAAAGTTAGTAATGATTTTTAATAATGCCCATTCTTTCAACATGTTCACCAAATGTCTTTGGAGGCAATCCTTTTGTTAACGGATCCGCAACCATAAGATTTGTGCTAATATGCTCAATTGACACTCTTTGTTTCTGAACTTCTTCTTTAACGGCAAAGTATTTTAATTCCATATGCTTAGCACCCTTCGAATACTTGTCGTTTTTAGAAAAGAAGACTGCTGCAGCATTATCACAATAAATTTTCAGCGGCTTGGTAATACTGTCAACAACTCCAAGTCCTGAAATAAAATTCCGCAGCCATAATCCATGAACAGTGGCCTCAAAGCATGCCACGAACTCAGCCTCCATAGTCAATGCAGCAATGACAGACTGCTTCGCACGTTTCTACGAGATCGCTCCTCCAGCTAGAAGAAACAGATAGCCAAATGTGGATTTTCTAGTATCCAAACATCCAGCAAAATCTGAATCTGTATATCCAATCACCTCAAGGTGATCAGATCTCCTATAAGTGAGCATATGATCCTTTGTTCCTTGCAAGTATCTCAATACCTTCTTTGCAGCTTTCCAATGATCCAATCCTGGATTACTTTGATATCTACCAAGCATTCCGACAGCAAAACTAATGTCAGGTCTTGTACAAACCTGAGCATACATCAAGCTCCCAACGATGGATGCATAAGGAATTTGTTCCATTTGTTTGTGTTCCAACTCATTCTTTGGACATTGCATAAGACTGAATTTATCCCCTTTCTGAATTGGAACTACAGATGCAGAGCATTTATCCATCTTGAACCTCTCTAGAATTTTATTAACGTATGATTTTTGAGACAACCCTAACAATCCTTATGATCTATCACGGAATATTTCAATTCCTATCACATAGGATGCCTCACCCATATCTTTCATTTCGAAGTTCTTAGAGAGAAATCTCTTGGTCTCGTGTAATAAGCCAAGATCATTAGCAGCAAGTAAGATATCATCAACATACAGAATAAGAAATATAAACTTGCTCCCACTGATCTTTAGATATATACATCGATCAACGATGTTTTCTTTAAATCCAAAAGATGTAATAGTATCATTAAACTTAAGATACCATTGTCGGAAAGCTTGTTTCAGTCCGTATATTGACCTCTTAAGCTTACACACCATGTGTTCCTTTCCTTCAACTGAAAAACCCTCGGGATGGTCCATGTAAACTTCTTCATCTAAATTTCCATTTAGAAAGGCAGTTTTCACATCCATTTGATGTAGCTCTAAATCATAATGAGCCACCATAGCCATAATAATTCTTAATAAATCCTTTTTTAAAACAGGAGCAAATGTTTCTTTATAGTCAACGCCATCTTTCTGAGTAAAACCTTTGGCAACGAGTCTAGCCTTGTATCGTTCGATATTGCCATTTAAGTCGTGTTTGGTCTTAAAGACCCATTTAGACCCAACTCTTTTACAATCTTTAGGCAATTCTACAAGATCACAAACTTCATTATGCTCCATTGATTTCAACTCATCTTTCATGGCATCAAACCATTTATCAGAATTATGGCTTTTCATGGCCTGTGAAAATGAAACCGGATCTTCATCAATTCCAAGATTAAATTCTGACTCTTGTAGATAAACCACATAATCATCAGGAATAGCAGATTTTTTCTGTCTTTGAGACCTTCGTAATGCTACTTCTTCATGGGGTATATCTATTGCAGGTTCATTGGTAACAACGTCTTCATAGAGTGTTTGATCATTTATTTGTTGTTCTTGAAAGTCGTTAAACTGTTCAACAACTGTAGGAACAACAATTTGAGAAGAAGTTAAAGGTAAAGGAACATTCATTTTAACTTCTTGAATTTCCACTTTACGTGGTTCTATACTCCCACTAATGTCACCATTCTCAATAAACTTGGCATTTCCAGTTTTAACAATTTTAGTGCTATGGCTAGGACAATAAAATCTATATCCTTTAGATTTTTCTAGATAACCAATGAAGAAACCACTGGTTGTTCTTGAGTCCTGTTTCTTTTCATGTGGATTATAAATTCGTATTTTCGCAGGACAACCCCAAACATGAAGGTGTCTCAAACTGGGCTTCCTTCCTGTCCACAGTTCAAAAGGAGTCTTTGAAACTGCCTTACTAGGAACCTTGTTTAACAAATACATTGCGGTTTTTAAAGCATACATCCATAATGATAAGGATAAAGGGGAATAACTTAACATACTCCTAACCATGTCCATTAGTGTACGATTACGCCTTTCTGCAACACCATTTTGTATGTCCATTAGTGTACGATTACGCCTTTCTGCAACACCATTTTGTTGCGGTGTACCTGGCATAGTGTATTGAGCACATATGCCACGCCTTTCTGCAACACCATTTTGTTGCGGTGTACCTGGCATAGTGTATTGAGCACATATGCCATGCTTTTTAAGAAATTTAGCAAATGGACCAGGACATTGTCCCGTTTCATTATATTTTTCATAAAATTCACCACCCCTATCAGATCTAATAATTTTCGCCTTTTTGTCTAATTGTCTTTCAACCTCATTAATAAATACCTCTAAGGCATCTACTGATTGAGATTTTTCTCAACCTCATTAATAAATACCTCTAAGGCATCTACTGATTGAGATTTTTCATGCAACAAATAGACATATTCATAACGTGAAAAATCATCAATAAAGGTGATAAAATATTTTTCTTTATTAAAGGATGGAACATCAAAAGGTCCACATATATCTGTGTGTATTATTTCAAGGAGCTGTGTGCTTCTTGTGGCGGCTTTCTTAATTGTATGATTTGTATGTTTTCCTTTAATATAATCCAC